CCTCATCGACGGCGCAGCGATTCCACCTTCTCAACCCTTATCGCTTTGCGATTTTGCTTCATCCTCTTCTCCGATCTTGCTTCATCTTTGTTCCACTCTCGACGCCGTTCATTATGTTCCATTTCAAATCAATCGCAGCCATCACCAACATCGACCTTCCGTTCCTGATTCATCTCCGTCCTCAACCTCATTCATCACCTCTGAATTGAAACGAAACTACAAAGCACGACACGTCTACGACAACAAAGATTAAAGTAAAACTGAATCAAGAAAGAGAGATTCAAGGCTTACCCTCCAGAGTCGTTCCAACGACTATTTGAAAGTGTCAGTGTTGCAAGAAAATTAAAGGTAATAATATGCTTCCATAAATCTCCTCAGTCTATTGCCTTTCTTCTTCTTCTTCTTCTTCTTCTTCTTCTTCTATATTTCTATGCGTTTGGTATGTTAATGGTTGCACTACATTCCAAAATTGATGAAAATCGTTGTGCAGAGATATTGGTGATGTTGAAATAGAGAAATAACAGTTGAAGATCCAAGATGTGTGATAAACGAAGCAGTGATATAGATAATGCGTTCTGAGATGAAGAAACCGTGAAGTTGTTGTTCCTTGCGATGATGATGAAGATTCAGGAGTTACGATGTTGATACAGAAAGTGAGGGAATGATAGTGATGAGCAAAGAAGATGAATCAGAGAGAATTGAGGGAGTTCTTTTTTTCGTGATTCTTCTGCATTTTTTCTTAGCCTCCGGATTGATTCAAGTGAGAACTGTTATATAGTCTGTTATGGATTAGAACAGTTAGTTACAGCTTGGTGAATGATAGTTATTGGATCCAATTTCTGTTAGTAGATGGACGATAGTGATGAGTTTGGTTAGAAGGTCAGCCAGTCTGTAAAATCCTGTTAGAAATTTCTGATATATTTTCCTGATATGCTAAGCTGAGAATTAAACTTGAGTTTCATTCCCTTTTTCCGTTCTTGATTTTTCTGTATTTTGTTAGATTCCTTTGAACTGAAGCAGGGATGGACTTCTTAATGCAAGACTATTTCTAAGCCGATTTTATATTATGCAGGCACGGTTTTATTGAGTTTCACCCTCTTTTCCTTATGTATTTCCAGTTTTAGTTTCCCTTTCTTTCTTTTTTCTGTCATTCTTTTGAGTGCATCCCCTCCATCTCAGTTTCGAATTTTTTTCGTTTTAAACAACTTTCCTTGAGAACCTGCACGCATTTTATACTCACTTTCTAATTTCTATTTTGAACTGATGTGAGGTGCTAAATAATTCTTGTAGGTTGGATTGAATGCATGGTTTTGCTTATGTTTTGGAACAAGGCTTTTTATTATGCAGCAAGTTTGGGCTTTGATGTGCAAGGCTGTTTCGGTATATGAGCCTGGTTGATCGATTTTGACAAGTTGAGAGGAAGCACAGAAATATGGTTAAGACATTTGGTAGCCATTAGGTTTGGGATTGGGAATAGGTTTTATGTACGATTTCTTGATGTAACTGCCTTGTAAAAATGAATGGTTTGCCTTGTTTCTTGAATTCCAAAGAACTAGACTTTAACAAATCTGGAGGTATTTGAATGTCAATCTTCCATTGAACGAAATACTTGAACCCATGGCTTATGGTTGATAAATCTCGAGTAGCTTTGCAATGAAAGCATATTGGTATCTTTTGCATTTTTGAATAGAACTTTATTCATGAATGAAGCTTTGAATAAAGTCGAATTTTGATGATCTTAATGAACATTTGTAATTGTAACTTTGATGACATATGACAATCGTGAAATGAATTTGATAATGATGTATACCTAATAAATTGCTTTATCCAAGACATCCACACACATGAATGTTCTAATCTTACACTTTTGAAATTCTTTTTGACATATCAATGTTGACGCCATAGCGAAACTATGAACCCAAACCTTGAATCACTTGGTCACATTGAACTCATAACACATTTGGACGAACCCCTTAATCCTGAATCCACATTACCTTGCAATTGGAGCAACTTATCTCAATTGAATGACTAGTGACCTTAGTCCATTTTCAACCAATCAATAAACATATCAAAACACTCATTGACCAAAATAACTCCCCTAGAAAAAAAATGCCTTGCTCCCGAAGAATCCATAATTTCACATCTTGTCTCACGATTCATGTTTTTTTTTTTTGCACTCTAAATCATAAAGGCTTCCTAGCTTGATAACAAACAATCGTGCCACGAGATTAAAGCCCTGAGGAACAAATTGAAGACAAATGGTAAGACTTGAAGTACGAAGTCCAACGACCTTCAGTTAAAACGTTGACAAAACTCAACCACCCTGGATAAAAAAAAAACCATGATCCACCGATAACTATCATAATGAGAACAAGACGTCAATTCAATCCTTTAAGCTTCTTGAAAAGAATATCTTGTGGTGAAAACAATTAGGAGGAAACCCCAATTCTCTTGATTTTGATGCACAGTGAGGAAGAGATGACTTAAGGTATTGAGAGAAATCAAAATCCTACCTCATGGTCTGCTTAATTGTAAGACATGATGAATCCTAAGCACACAAAGTTAAAGCCCTAACGCACTTATTCTTGAGGAATTTATTATGAAGAAAAATTTGTATCTTGAGAAAATTTGCCAAGAAAAATATATGTGATGCTTGTGATCCAAAAATCTAGTTTCATACCAAGAATGATGAGAGCACCTATTGAATTAACTTTGAATTAGGCAGCAACTTAATTCATAGGGAAAATCCCTAATGCCAAGAGCCCTTTGATCCCATAACCATTGAATCGATGATATGCATGAGATACATATGATATGATGAGGAATATTACGGGAAAAAATTGGGGTATAACATCAGTAGATTATGGATATGATGGGATGACAATTGTATTAAGATAGATCATGTTTAAAGGACATACCAAATGATCCAGTGCAGAGTTGCTAACACCAATAGAGAATTCTTGTACTGGCTGACAGCTATATATATGCCCAAAACCATCTTCACTTGAGGAAAAAACTTTGGAATGATATTGAGAGAATGAATTCACACCAAAATGGCCCTTGGATTCTTATTGAAGATTTTAACAATGTGGTTAAAATTGAAGGCAAAATAGGTGGGAATGAGGTTACTGAAAAAGAATATATTGATTTGATAGAGATTGAGTAATATTAAGTTATACGAAATGGAGAGCAATGGCGATCGTATCACATGGTCGAATAAACAACAAGACAAATGAATGCTACATTGACAAATATGAATCCCAGTGTATTGGATCATGCCATGCTGATTTTTAAGGATTATGAACAGGTACAAGCTGGAATTAATATCTTTAGATTTATGAATTGCATAGCTGAATTGGAGAACTTTCTTGACACTGTCGCAGATAGTTGGAGAAAGCCAGTGAATGGAAGACCGATGGTTGGAGTATGGAAAAAACTCCTTGGATTGCAGCAAATCCTCAGGAAGCATTGGTAATTATCCTCTGATAGCTCTCAAAGGCATTGGTAATTATAAATCGCCTGGGACTAATGGTTATGGGGCATATTTCTACAAGAAAGCATGGTCAGTAATTGGTGATGATGTAACGGAAGAAATCAAGGATTTATTTGTCAATAATAAAGTGTATAAGGAAGCAAATTGCTCAGTTGTTACTCTAATCCCCAAGCGCACTGGTGTGAAAGGGATAAAAGACTACAGACCAATTACGTGTTGCAGTACTCTATACAAAATCATTTCCAAGGTTATTGCCAATAAAATGAGTAAGGTATTGAATTACATTGTGGGTGATAATAAAGCCATATTTGTAAAAGGACAGCATATCCATAATCATATCCTTCTTGCGTATGAACTAAATGTCATTTTGCTTTATGATATGTTAATGAGGTTTATTTTCTAAAAGGGGGGTCTTGGACTTTTCTAAATCAGAAAAGGCCCATGTAATTTTTAAAGCCATTCAGGTTCTCTTGTAGGGGGTGTATTTATTAAAATATACTGGTCCATTTTGAATCACACGGTCCAACTCTCTACTATTTTCCAAAGCCCAAGCCCAATTAAAGAAAAACGTTTGCAGAGGAGGAAAAAACGTTTACTTTTTGGATCAAAGGAAAATAATGCACGTTTCAATTGTATAAACCAATATTGTTCAAATTACAAACCAAATCAAATAAAATTAAAATCTTTTACATTAAAGTGTCTAAAGATTAAATCTAACGGAATTACTACAGATCTGGAGAAAAAAACCTACAGATCCATTACAATTACAGAAAAAAATCAAATCTTACAGATCGTATCAAAAAACTTATACAAACAGAATCATCAATTCCCTAAAATTACAACTAAATCAAATCTCTAAAAACCCTAATCTGCTAATCAAAATAAGTAACGACAAATTCATAAATTTATTTCCTAAATCACCTAAACATATAACACTATAAAACCTGAAAAATTTTAAGACGAAGAGGGAGGAATAAATAATTATGGAGGAGATTCTTGACAGGAGAAGTAGAAGAAGAAGGGCTTGGCTGAGGATGCCTGAAGTTTCAAAAGAAGCTTCCTTTTCACATAGATTTAGGGTTTCAACTTCTGAAACCATAAATCCTTCATCCTTCGCCGCTCAATCTTCAATCGCTGCCGCTAGAATTTTCATCCGTTGTGTCGCCGCACCTACAAACCATAAGAGACGAAAGGGTCAGCAATCGGAGAAACCAGAAGCAAAGGAAGGATATCACGACGATAGAAGTAAAGAACACTTAGCTATCGTGATTTTTATTTAATGATTTGTTGAGTTCTTGAGGATTCAGGGGTTAGGGTTTGTAGGGTTACGATTGGGGTTGGGTTGATTTTGTGTCGTCAGGATCTTAATTAGGGTAGCATCGCTGCCGGTTTCTAGGTTTCTGTTTAGGGTTGTTATTGTTGTTTGGTGTTTTGAGAGAAGAAGAAGATAAAATAAGGAGAGAGAGAGAGAGAGGCAAGAGAGAAATATGAAATTAAATGAATAAAAGAGAAAAATGAGAAAAGATGTACTTCCTCCGTCTTTTGATCATTTGAGACACGTGGTCGATATTTGGCCACGTGATCTCTGCACCCTCACCATGGACCCTCCTTTTTTAATCCTTCGATCATTATCAAATGCATGTTGTTGTACCCCAAAATTTTCCTTCCCATTTTTCAAGACTAATTAATTCAAGACACTTTCTGATGCACATGAAGGTCTCAAGCACTCAAGACTACTCAAGGGTTGACCAAACAAACTCTTCTCCTAAGCAGTTGACCTAAAACTAGGGTTTTGTTTTTCTCAAAGAAAATTGGACCTTTAATGCCTCAAGTGGATTTCATGGTTTCTCATACGTACGAAGGTATCCTCATGCCAAGTTTCAAGCCTTGCAGCACAAGTTTGCTCAGTCAATTAGTCAGATGATTAAAAATCAACTGTATTGAACAAAAAGTCAACTTTGACCAATTTACAGTCAAAATTCAAGATTTTTGTCAACTTCAATATTTTTAAGTCACATTCATCATTTGATTAAGGGTTGATCATGATTCATCAAGAAAAATCAAGATTCATCAAAATTTAAAAGTTTCTAAATTAGGGTTTTTCTTAAGGAGAAGTCAAATGAACTTTAACCCAGCATAACTTTCACATACTTCATCATAAAATTCTCAACCAAATCTCATTTTGAAGGAAATTCAATTCTATACAACTTTGTCTGTCTAAGCTCAAGGCAAAAAATGCTCCATTTGAGAGATATGGGCCAAAACATTACAGGTCATTTTAAAAGTCAACAAAAGGAAACTTTTTGTCAAGGCACTTTACATCAAGATAAAAGCTTCAAATGAAAAATTGACCAACATGAAAGTTGTAAGAGACATCTTAATCTTTCCAAAAAGTCAAAGATCACATTCATATGATAAAAATCAAATGAGATCTGATTTGTGCAAGTTGGACAATTTTGAGAAAATGCATGAAGTTCAATTTGAGCAAACATGAATTTTTGGACTAATGGACCTATCTTTTAAGGTCTAAACAGGTTCATGACACCTTAGAGGATCTCTAAGTCCATTCATGTACCATTTTAATTTTTATTTCATTTATTTTAATTTTTATTCATTTAAATTCAAAATTAAATCAAGTAAATATTAAATAAATGTATAAGGCATAAAAGGCTTGTGATCTGAATCTTTTAGAGGCTCAAGGTCATGCTACAAACCGTGTGCACCTATTTATGAATCAAATCTTCATGGTTTTGTAATATTTCAACCTATTTTCAAACAAAATAAAAAATATGTTTTATATGATGTCCAAGCCCACCTCTTAACCTAATCTTTTCTCCTATAAGTACACTACATATTCAGACCAAAAGAGAACAGGCAAGGCTGCTCAAGAAACAAGGGTTTGGAGATTAAAAATTTGCAAGAAAAGGGTGAACTCGAATTCCTATTTTTAGCCGTCCTCGAAGTGAGATAACCATTCAAAATGACCCCTTAGGTATCATAGAGTAAGTTTCAATCATTCTTGATGACCAAATGTCCCCTAAAACACGCATTCCAAACATCACCGGTTTAACATATGTTATGAAATTCATATTTCAGTACTTATGATGCTTTGATTTAAACTATCAGTTTCAATGTGTTCCTGAGACAAATTAGCGTAGGTTTTATCCCTTGCATGAGGCCCGTGATGCCAGAACACTCAACCGCCATTATTGCACCGTGTTGCCTTATTTTGGTCGTATCTCACTGTACAGATTGAATTATCCAAAAAGAATGCCACCATTGGATTTGCAAGAGCCAAATTATGGGGATAAGGTCCCTCTTAATCTCTAACGCATGTTATTTTTGCAAGTTTGAAAACGACCTCGCCGGAGAAGACGACCGAAGATAAGGCTCCGGCGCTTATCTGGTTTACTTGTTTATTATATATTGTTTAGTTTCTATTTTATAACAGAGTTGAAGTGTAGCGTAGTTGGTTGAGACAGAGGCATGTAATGTAGAAGGCGTGGGTTCGATCCCTGCGTCTTGCAATATTTTTTTGCTATTTTTCAAACTAACGTGCATGCATGTTTTATATGGATCAGTTCTTGTTTTCATAACACAATTAGCGTGCTGGCTCAGTGGCAAGGGAGGGCGCCTATGACTTTAGGGGCGTGGATTCAACACCCACCCCATGCAAATTATTTCACCCTATTTGTTTTCTAACCTAATTTCCTTTCTTTTTATTTCCTAACCCTAATTACTTTTAATTAATCAATCATTAAACTAACCTGATATTTTTTTAATACTAATAAATTATGATTAGGGTTTTTAACAAGCATTAAATTTTCTTGACATATTTTTTTACTAAACTAATTAATTAATCAACCTTTTTCTTAAATATTAAAATCAATTATAATTTAGGTTTTATTAATTATTATCACTTAAATTACTTTTTATATAAAATATCAAAAACATTAACTTAGATCTTGGATCTTTTTAAACATTAAAAAAAAACATTTTCTTTTTTCTTTTTTCTACTTAAATTCATAGATCAAGTGTATAGGGCACACTCTCTAATGTAATAGCGTAGATTTATATTATTGCATTTTCCCAATTATGTAACTACTCACAGGATGTAATAACATAAGTTTACTTTCCTGCAAATTTTGATACCTATGTATCTGTCCCAAAGCCATGTAATAGCGTAGGACTTTACATTCCACACTTTATTTTTCTGTACATATTCAACTGTTAGAAACTAGATTTTTTATGGCAAGACTAAAAGTAATCTTAGAAAACCCTAATTTCCAAGATAAAATAACTGAAACTAACGCACTTTGCACACTTGCACCTCCAGGGTAATCTCTCTTATTCCCTTGCGAAACATTGATCATGTCCCTTGAAAGTGGGGATACTTTAGCAAAAGACCCTCGAACAAATCACCATTGTTCCTTTCTGTGATACGGTGGGAGAACTGACTTGAGGTTTTGCGTTTGTATCCGCACTTGTTCGGTTTAGCAAGAGTCGCCACCGACTTTTTATTTTATCCTAAAGGAAAGGTTAAAAAGCACAGGAAAAACCTTTGAGATGTTTTCATGGGTTCGGGGGGTAGATTATGAAAAGGGAAGGTGCTAGCACCCTTTTCATCCATGGTTATCCATGGGCTCTTAGTTACTTGTTTTAGATCACTTGCCTTGATTTTCAATTGTTTGAAATGGTGCTTTGTATGTGTGGTTTTGAAAATGTTTTGAAAAAGATGTCTTGTCTAGGCAACCCTTGTAACAATTCTTTACTCGAATGTTTTACAAAAGGTGTTTGTCTTTTTGAAAAGATGTTTCAAGGTTTTTTGAAAGTTGTTTTGAAAGTTGTGTTGTGGAGTGTGTTTTGAAAGTAGGCAAGTGTGTTTTGCAAGTTTGATCAAGTAACTAAGAGTTGTCTACCCCTAAATTTACTCAAAGATCTTTCCTATGTTTTAACCCTTTTAACAGTATTGTTCCACCATTGTATTTGGTGGACAATCTTGTGTTAGGATGTTAACAGGACGGACGCGGATCATCGTATAGACCATGAATGCAATGGTGCCAAGTGTCTTTGGCAATTTTTTCCTTCAAGGGACTTGATCATTTTTTAGGCAACTTGAGAAAGCGTCATCGAGGGACTATGATCATTTGATTTGTTTTGTTTTGCCAAAGACACTCAATCATGCAACATGGCCCATTTTGGAAGGCAACAAGCGGGATTACCCTAGGGGTGCAAGTGTGATTGGTGTTGTCCATTTTCATGCTTTTTTGTCTTTGTATTAGTCAAGCTATTTGTTGGTTTTATTTACATACAAACCCTAGGTCTATCATGGCATAATTTGAATGCTTTTAAATGCGGAAATTTAAAGTCCTAAATTATTACAACATGATTATGGGGATGAGGATACAAATATTTACAAATGGGGGATGAGACTTATCGGAATAGTAGTGTCCAAATATCACTTACAACCAAATCGAATCGTATCCTCAATGTAAAATATATCAAAGTATAAGAATCAAGGATAAACAAAAATATTGCAAAATGTATATGATTATTTACAAATGATGCAAGTTAAGTATTTTATTATTTTTATGTTTTTGTTAATTATGTATAAACAAAAGTTTTAATAAAATAAAAAAAGGAAATATTTAACCTTAAAAAATAAATAAATAAAAAATTCTATTTTTTTATATGTATTCTTTATTGATGTTTTTGTGTTTTTATATATTATAAATATAAGAAAAAGAAACTATTTAATTAAATTAATTCTACTATTTATGTATTTCAAGTGTGATAAACAAAATATTATTAATAAAATATGAAGAATTAATATATTACTTTTTAACTTAACAAAAATATAGATTGTAAAAAAGAAAGAAAATAAGGTGATAAGAAAAAGTGTTAATTTGTAAGTATAAGAAAAGAATAAATAATAAAAAGGTTAAATGGGCCAAAGGTCAAAATGAAGAGATTTAAGCCAGGATCTTGGGCTTAGGCTTTTTTGTTGGGGACAGGCCCAAAACATGTTACAAAGTTTGTAGGGGTTTCACTTTGTTTGTTTTAGATTTAGGGTTCGTGTTGTACGAACGGCGCCTCCACCTTCTTCTTCGTTGTCCTCTTCACTTTCTCAAGCCAGGCTTTCTGAACGAACCTCCATGCCTTAGCTGCTAGAGCGCCACCTCCACTTCCCTCTCTCTATGGTCATGCAAGACGGTGATGAGAAAAGGTTTGATTTCTGTTTTATGCGTTTTTAGGTTTTCAAGTTTTACATGTTATTGATTTTGTTTTGACAAGTTCTGACCTTTATGTTATTCGATATTGTGTGAGGTGTTAAAGAGAAGAGAGGAGTTACTACCTTTGGAGAGGATACGGAGGAGGACGGCGGCGCGTCTCAGGTGGCCGGAGGCGGAGGGACTGGTGATGCTAGCTTTGTGGCCTTCCTGGTATTTTTGTATCTCCGTTTAGTGATGATGCTACAATCTGAAAACGCTTATATTATTTGCTTCACTATCCTCTTCTCTTGGTCTTTTTATCAATGATGATATTATGATTATGAGATTGTTGCTTGCTATTACTTCGCTTCTGAATTCTGATGAACTTTGTTGCTCTTTTATGATGATGATGATTTCGAACCTGAGTTGTTTGCCCTTTTTGCTTCTGAGTAGCTTTTCCTCCCTTGATGCTATGTTGGCTTTTTACTCAATGATGATTATTTCTGAGAATGACTTTTGCTTCAGTTGTTGTTTGGCTTTGGCTTTGTTGTGATATTTGGCTTTGACAGGGCTAGAGGCAGGCTTGCAAGTTACAGGCTTGAGGTTTGCTTGAAACTGGTTTGTATGGCTTTGGTTTTGACAGGCTTAAGGTTTAGGCTTCAGGCTTGTGTTGATACAATTTTGTTTTAGGCTTGTGGGCTTGAGACAGTTTGGAATTTTGTTTGAGGTTTATGCAGGTTTGAGCTTTGAACACAGGTTTGTGTTTTGATACAGGCTTGTGTTTGACAGTTTGTTGTTTTGTAACTGGTTTCTAAGCTTGAGACAGTTTGGAATTTGTTTGTTTTTGGGAGGCTTTGATGCAGGATGCTTGGAAACAAGCTTGTGTTTTTGCTTGGCCTTTTTCTGGTGTGTTTGTTAGGCTTCTCGTTTTTGTTATGTAACAGGCAGGCTGTTTGTTGTTTTCTTAGGGTCCAAGCTTGGAACAAGCTTCAATGTTTTAGCAGGTTGCAAGGTTTGAGGTTTACAGTTTTTTGTGATATCTTCTTCTGTATGTATTCTGCCCTCCCCCCCTCTGACAGTGTTCTGATTTTGTTATATTTATCTTTAGGCATGCCTGGAAAACTGTAAGCCTGCTACTTTTCCCTCTTTTTCTCTCTCCAGAGAAAGCACGTCTTTGCTTAGAATATCTCTCTTTTTTCTGAAAAGACTGTGGCCTGGAAAATGATGGATAAAAATGTGTTCTTCACAAGCTTGCTTGCATTTGTCTTTCCTCTGCATACCTCCAGATTTCCTGCCTTTCTTTTGTGTACTTGTTGACCGCTTTTTGACAGTTTAAGCTTGGTTGACATTGTTTTGTTGACAGCTCTACAACTTTATACTTTTGAAAAATTGGTTTGCCTTTTCAAGTAGCTTGTTTGTTCAATTTGAAACTTTTCAACTTGTTTTGGCATATTCAGTTTGTTACTTGTGACTTTGGTTGACAGTTTGAATTTATGCAATTTTTTTGGCATTTCAATTTGTCCATGTGCAGTTTGTTTGAATTTGTGCACCTTTGTATTTGATTAATTCATGCTTACAAACATTTCATTTCCCTCTTTGTGAACCAAGAAGAGACATCTTCTTGCGATTTGCAGAGAGGATGAACAAACTGATTCCGGCCAAAATCTTTAATGATGAGTTTTTTTTTTATTGACTGTCTGAAAATGCCTTTAATTTATCTGTACTGATTTCTTTCTTTTTTGTCCTTGCAGATAAGGATCAGTTGAACAAAGGATGCAATTAGTAGAAGATGAAGATTTCCAGAGAATTAGGATATAGTTTTAATTTACTTTTAATCATTGTAATAATATTATTGTAAACAATTGTAAATAAATTTACAATGTTCAAATAATATTTGTAACAAATAATTAAAAATGAATAAAAAATTTCTTTGTCAAATATCTCTTTTAATTCTTCTTCCATTGCTTATTTAATTATTTAAATTTCTTAAGTCATAATAATTGGAAGCTTTTCCCAATAATCTTAACTTTAGAAACTATAAATAATCAATAAACACTGTAGTCTTGCAACTTCGCATTAACTAATAATAAACCCGGCGTTCCAATTGACCATAAACATTGCACAGTTAATCAAACAAACGTCCATATGCCTTTCCTTCTACTGATTAAACTAAACACTGCAAATTTCCAACCAGAAGCCTCAGCTTCTAATCCAGAGGTTCAGGTTTTGAGAAACAAAATGAAATCAGGCGTCAAAGCAGTGTGACAGCCAATTAAGACACTGTGGATTCAAATTCTTCTGAGAATGCGCGTGCAAACCCTAATTCTTGATTTAAGGTTAAAGAAGCGTCTGCTTGATCAAACTCTGAGCCAAACTCAAACAAATCAAAAGAAACCCTAATTTTGTCTGAATGATTCAAAAATCAATGAAAAACCCTAATTTTGTCTGACTGATGAGAAAAGTCTGTTTGACCGATTCTTAATCCAATCTGAAAAATCAGGAAAAGCCTGAAGCTGTGATTTCTTGTGAAAAAGAGAGAGGGCAAATTTTGGGGTACAACAGTTGCCCCTGTTCAATCTTCTTGAACCTGAAGAGTTAGATTGGCAAGTTTGCCGTTCGCGTCTCGAAGGTAAAAGGAGATTGGACACTAGAGTGCCCGTAAATTTGCACTCGTCAGAACATGGATGCAGAAATGGGCTTAGAGATGCCATTTGGAGATGGGCTTAAAGATGCCATCTGGAGGGGAGACAGAATCTTGTCGGGGATGGGCTTAAAGATGCCACCTGGAATGTTTGTTGAATTGTATGTCGTTGAAATTGAAGCTTAATAATCTTATCCTGAAAAGGGTAAAATGTTAGCTGAAATACAAAGTTATTTTGCATGAAATGTATGATGCAATACATGTTATATCAATGTTTATAATATGAATGTAATGATTGCGCATGTAAGCTGATGAGCTGTCTTGCTGAGGATAGATGAATCCTGGATAGCCGGAGATAATAGATTCTTGACTGATGTCGGGGAAAGTGAATCCTTGACTGCTGCAGGGGGTTGCAAGAATCTTGTGATCGTTGAACATGAGAAGTCCTGGGACCGCTGTTGGGGGAATCAGGAGCTTGGGTTGTATGCCACTTTGAGAATGAGAATCTTCATTCTGTTGGGAATATCAGGAGCTCAGGTTATCTGCCACTTTGAGAATGAGAATCTTCATTCTGTTGGGAATATCAGGAGCTTGGGTGTATGCCAATCTACTGGGGTTTTAAGGACGAGAATCTTCATTCTGTTAAGGGTCAGAAATTGGGAGTATACCAATCTTCTAAGGTTTTAAGGATGAGAGTCTTCATTCTGTTAAGGGTCAGAAATTGGGAGTATACCAATCTTCTGAGGTTTTAAGGATGAGAATCTTCATTCTGTTAAGGGTCAGAAACTGGGAGTATACCAATCTTCTGAGGTTTTAAGGATGAGAATCTTCATTCTTGAGGGTCAGAAATTGGGAGTATACCAATCTTCAGAGGTTTTAAGGATGAGAATCTTCATTCTGTTAAGGGTCAGAAATTGGGAGCATACCAATCTTCTGAGGTTTTAAGGATGAGAGTCTTCATTCTTGAGAGGAACAGATTTTTAGGAGCTTCAATTGTCCGTTATTCTGTTGGTGGTTGTAACTTCCAGCAGGTGATGAAGGAATTTGAAACTTGAAATGTAATTTGTTTTGGAGAATAAATCCTTGACAAAAGTTGGGGATTGGAAATCTTTGGACATCCTTGCTGACTGCTGATTGCTTGGGGAGAAAGACCTTCAATGGTTGAGGGATTTCAGGGCCACTGCTGGAGATTGAAAATCCTTGGTGATTTGTGGGGAATGAGAATTCTGATGATCTCTACTGGGGAGTTCAGAACCTGGGAGACTCATGCTGGAGGAGTGAGACTGAGAATCTTCAATCTGATGGGAAGTATCTCTGTGGGGAGAATGTTCGCTAGTCTGGTTCCGCTGGGGATTGATAGTCGGAAGTTTTAGCTCCGCTAGGGATTAACAGCTTTGACTTCACTGGGGATAGGATTTTTCAGATTTTTAGGGCTCCACTGGGGAACTGAAACTTAACCTTGAGGGGAATTAAGTTCTGGAAGGCTCTCTGGCTGGGGAAATCAGCTTTGAGGAAGCTTTTGTTCTGCTGAGGATCCTGAAGTTTAACTCTGTTTGGGGAATTAAGTTCTGGATTTTAACCTTGTTGAGGAATTTGGAGTTTAACTCTGCTGGGGATTCTTTCGGAAAGGGCATCAAGATATCTATTTGTACCTTTAACCTATCAGCAATCATCTTTCTTGATTTGTAAGAAAATGATTATGTTCAAATGCATATGCCTATTTGACAAAACATTGGACGTTTCTCAAATTAAACATAAGTGTAAGAAGCAAAAGGAAGACAAAGCAAATTTCTGTATTTGGAAAAGTGTTTGTATTAACTTTTTATGAGTATCTTTGTACAAAGGAGACATACATCCTAGTAAGAGGGTGTTGTCGTAAAAAATTGAAAAAGTTTATACAAAAGAAAGATGGCTATGTGTAACAATTCTATGGGATTCCCATTCTACTATAGCCTCCACAACTCTGAATGTCTGTCCATTCACTACTTCATCCGCCGATGACTGGATTGATCAGAAGCTCAGAGCTTATTGATGAAGAGATTGTTCTTTAAAATGATCCGACGAGACATAGTCATACGCTTTAATTCCCTAACTTTTGCCTGGATCACCCTTTCGGGTTTTCAATCTACCGGGAAACCCCTTTTTGCCCAAGCCGCCCTTTTGGGTTTTCGACTTGCCGGGTGTACAGATTTTTTGTTTTATCCCTAATTTTTGCCTGAACCGCCCTTTCGGGTTTTCGGTTCACCGGGATGCCCATTTTTGCCCAAGTCGCCCTTTCGGGTTTTCGACTTGTCAGGTGATTTTATGTGTAGTATCTTTTGACTATGTCTGCATTCGCAGGGTGCGGAAAATCGTCGCCGTCCATGGTGGTCAGAATCATTGCACCACCAGAAAAGATGCTCTTGATTACAAATAGTCCTTCGTAAGTAGGAGTCCATTTGCCTCTGGGATCACTTTGCGGCAAGATAATCCGCTTGATTACGAGATCTCCGACTTGGTATACTTGACGTCTGACTTTCTTGTTGAAAGCCTTGATCATCCGTTTTTGGTACGTCTGACCATGGCAAACAGCGGTGAGTTTCTTCTCGTCGATCAAATTGAGTTGATCAAGTCGAGTCTGAATCCAATCATCTTCACTCAAACCAGCGTCCTTCATAATCCTTAAAGAAGGAATCTGAACTTCCATGGATAGGACAACTTCCATGCCATATACCAAAGAAAATGGGGTTGCCCCTGTTGAAGTACGTGTCGTGGTACGGTATCCATGCAGAGCAAACGGTAACATCTCATGCCAGTCCTTGTAGGTGACTGTCATTTTCTGAATGATCTTCTTGATGTTTTTGTTCGCAGCTTCAACAACACCGTTCATCTTTGGCCGATAGGGAGATGAATTATGATGATAAATCTTGAACTGTTCGCATAGAGCGGTGATCATAGTATTGTTCAGATTTGTACCGTTGTCTGTGATGATCCTGTCGGGGACACCATACCGGCATATGAGGTTTTGCTTGATGAAGCGGGCAACCACATTTTTTGTAACGGAGGCAAAGGAAGCTGCTTCGACCCACTTGGTGAAATAGTCAATGGCGACCAGGATGAAGCGATGTCCATTGGATGCCGTGGGCTTGATCTCTCCAATCATGTCAATGCCCCACATTGCGAATGGCCAAGGAGCTGTCAGAACGTTGAGAGGAACATGAGGAATATGTACCTTGTCGGCGTAGACCTGACATTTGTGGCAAGTACGGGAATGTTGATGGCAATCAGCTTCCATGGTAGACCAGTAATAGCCTGCCCTTAGAATCTTCTTATCCATCGTATGTCCGCTCAAGTGGGTGCCAAATGTGCCGCTGTGTATCTCAATCATGATTAATTCT